AAAGTTATCTCCAAATAATTAATAAAAAGGACGGATTTTAGCAAACAGATGACTACACATAGGTCTGAATAATCCTCATTAAGTCCATATGCATGTATTAATGTCACATTTCATCTTCTTATCCACCTCCATTGAAATCTGACATTAACTTTTCACATTCCAGAGTCTTCTGTTTCTATATTAGCATTCTCCTGGGTTTGGATTAACTGTTGTGAGGTCTAACAAAACTGCCTCTCCCCCGACAAACAGTCTTTTAAAACTTTAATTCTCTTCAGTTCAATTAATTTTCTGTGTTGCTGACATAATATCAGTCCAGGTACGTCTTTTAAATGCTTTAAGATTTATAGTATTTTGTAGGAATCTTTACCCCCTATATATTCTAGGAAACAGATGGTTATGCTCGGGGTTGAATGAAACCTTGTTGAAGTTGATGGGTTTGACTCTTGCCCTTCATTCAGGATAACTGTAAGAAGCAGTTAGGCGCCTATATAGAATAGGATAGCTGAAACAATAGGAACCACCACCTAAAATACAGGCCACATACAAGGCTAGTCAGAAACTGAACTTTGTGGGTGGAAGCTAAATGCAAATGCAGGGGGCTGGGCATTGTTTTGGGTGGAGGGTGTGTGTGTGTGTGTGTGTGGACTACAGAGAGGGTGTGCGCACATGTACATGCAACAAGCTGCCAAAGAATAGGCAGACAGAAGTGGCAGAAATGACACAGAAGCGCACAGAGAAGAGAAACACCAGAAACAGCCAAAGAAGTGTTTGTAGCATGAACCTGAGAAAAAGCCAAGAGAGAGGTTTTGGGTAAAGTTCTGGCTTGAAAGTGGTTTGGAACTGAGAGCAAAGAAACTGCCTCCTGAGACTGGGAGTGGCTAAGTCATTATGCAAGGTAACCTATTTCCCCTTGTTTTTTCCTACCCCCCCCCCCCAGACGTTCTTGTTAATTTGTGCTGGGTTTGTGCTGGAAATGGCCCACCTTGATTATCATACACATTGTAAGGAGAGTGATCACTTCAGATAAGCTATTACCAACAGGAGAGTGGGTCTGGGGGGGGGGGGTGAGAAAACCTGGATTTGTGCTGGAAATGCCCCAACTTGATTATCATACACATTGTAAGGAGAGTGATCACTTTAGATAAGCTATTACCAGCAGGAGAGTGAGGTGGGGGGAGAGAAAACCTTTTGTAGTGGTAAACACCCATTTTTTCATGCTTTGTGTGTATAAAAAGATCTTCTATACTTTCCACAGTATGCGTCCAATGAAGTGAGCTGTAGCTCACGAAAGCTTATGCTCAAATAGATTGGTTAGTCTCTAAGGTGCCACAAGTACTCCTTTTCTTTTTGTCTCCTGTTGTTTCCTTTTCAGTGTGTTTGGGGAAACAGCCCTTTGTACATTCCTTGTAAACAAACAGGATTGAATCAAAGAAATACCTGATTCCATCATTAATTTCTCCTCCTAACAGAAACAACCTGCAAGACCCCATATACTGGGTAATCAGTTGGGTCAAAATGGGAACAATTTTAACTAAAATAATCTCCCCTGTGCTATATTCCCCCTTACAAACATCTTTTTTTTTAAACAAAACATGTCATATTATTGCTATGAACTATCACCTATCATGATTGCTATCAACTATCATGATGACTGCACTTTCCTCTCTATATCCCGGACATTTCCCCTTCCTTTTAAACTCACATCTCTGACTGCCTCTATGACACATCTCCTTCTGGATGTGTCTCTGCCAACCTGAATTTAACGTGTCAAAAATGGAACTCAATTTACCTTCCAAAACGTCTCCACTTTTTCCCTTCTCTGTAACCCTCGGCAAAACCCCAATTCACTCAGGTTCAGAATTTGCTGCCATTTTCTTCTCTATTCCCACTTACAAAAACCTTGTTCAAACCCTGATACTCTCCGACCTTAACTATAGCAAGTTTCTTCTCTTTGGCTTCCCTAACCTCTTCCTAGTCTTCCTCTGTCTTTCCCTCTTCAACCCATCCAAAACACATCTGCAAAAATCACCTGTCTTGTCTGCTGCTCCAGCCACTTTCAAATTTACATTCAATTTAAGCACCTTGTATGTAAAGGCACTGTACAATCTAGCTCCTGCATACTCCTCTGCTCTTATCTCTTTTCGCACCCCCAAGCTACAGAACTCCATGGGAGTTAGAGAATCATAGAAATTTGGGTTCAAAGGGCCCTCAAGAGGTCATCTAGTTCATCCCCCCCATTCTGAGGCAGGACCACATATACCAAGACCATCCTTGACAGGTGTTTGTCTAACCTATTCTTAACCTCCCATAATGGGGATTCCACAATATCTCTAAATATCCTTATAGTTAGGAAAAATGTTCTAATAGCTAACCTAAAATCTTCCTTGCATCAGATTAAGTTGATTATTTCTTGTCCTACCTTCTGTTGCCATGACTGATCACCATCCTCTTTGTAACAGCCTGTAACATATTTGAAGACTTATCGGATCCTCTCTTGATCTTCTCCTCTCAAGACTAAACTCACCCAGTTTCCCTCATAGGTCACATTATCTAAACCTTTTATTACAGTGGTGCCCAAACTTTTAGTCTGGCACCCCGCTTTACCAGTAATGGAAAGCGTCCATGGGTCCCCCGCAGGGCTGGGAGCAGAGTTGTGGCTGGGCTGGGGGCTGCAGCCAGGAACCAGGAGCCATGGCCAGAAGGGAGGGGCTGAGAGTGGGAGCCGACAGCCTGCCATGCCCCCCCTCCTGGACATTCTTCTGCGCTCTCTAGGGTGGCATGCCCCACAGTTTAGGGTCCACTGTTTTATCATTTTTGTCATTCTCCTCTTGAGTCTCTCCAATTTTCCCCACATCTTTCTTAAAATGTGGTAGCCACAACTGGACACTGTGCTCCAGCTGAGGACTCACCAGTGCTGAGCAGAGCAGAATAATTACCTTCCATTTGTTACATATGACACTCTTTTTAATACACCGCAGAATGATGTTAGCCTTTTGCATAACTGCAACACGTTGTTGACCCATATTCAATTTGTGATCCACTACAACCCCTGGATCCCTTTTTGCAGTATTTCTGCCTTGCCAGTTATTCCCCGTTTTATATCAGTGCATTTGATTTTCTTCTTTCCAAAGTGTTGTACTTTGCTCTTGTCTGTATTGAATTTCATCTTGATTTCAGACCAATTCTCCAATATATCAAGGTCATTTTGAATTCTAATCTATTCCTCCAAATGCTTGCAACCCCTCATCTTGGTGTCTTCTGCAAACTTTATAAGCATACTGTCCAGTCCATTATCCTAGTCATTAATAAAAATGGAATAGTCCCGGATCCAGGGCAGATGGTATCCCTGTGTGACCCCTCTAGATACATCCTCCCAGCTCAACTGTGAATCATTGACAACTACCCTTTGAGTATCGTCTCTCTACTACTACACTTTGTAATGGTTTCATCTAAGCCACATTTTTCTAGTTTGCTTAGTTTGAAGGCAGTGTTAGTAAATATTAACCTTTTATTATTTTTGTATGTTAAACTCTTATAAATTCTTTGTATTCTGAATACATTCCTGGAATCATCACTGTATTAGCCAAAAGTGTATCTGAATTTTAAGACTTCATAGTGTTCATTCTGAAACTGAGCTAGTGTGTGATCAAATGAAAGAATGTGTACAATTTTCTACCAGTACTGATGTTCAGGAAGGGGATTCCTGTAAACTAATAAGGATGTCTATCATCACAAAAGTATGTTACAATAAATAAGACTAGGTAATTGATATGGGAATATTATAATTCTATTATGTTCTGTGCTTGATAAGCAACATTTGTTATCATAGATGTTTTCTGTGATTTATGAAATAATGACCCATTGAAATATGTTTTTAACTCATTAGAAAGGCTTGTTCAAACAGGTGTTCTTACAGATAACAACTGGGTTAGAAATCCCTTTAAGTTGATCAGTCAGGTAAATTAAGGTACCAAAGAAGAAATTTCATAAGTAATTAGGTAAAATGAGATATTAAAAACAAAACATAGTGAAATCAGTTGTGGGAAAGTAACTTTTCCCTCCCCACAAAGAAACTTCTTTGTCTCACATCCTATAAAAGGTGAGAGGTTTGAGGAGTTAGACTGGGAATGAGCAAACTGCCAGCATTCCACTTCTTACAGAAGAAGAGAATGGGGTGCCACCTTTTCATCATTCATAAAAGGTGGTAAAATATACTTTCTTTCTGTATTCTGTATAGAGCTGAATTAATTTTTGACTAATAATCTGTTAAAATAATTTCAACTGAGCCAGTTATTTGACATCATGAATAATTATTACATTTAAATATGCAACAGCAGTCACCCACTCACAGAAGACGTTCAGCACCTTGCAGCACTGGGCCATTAGACTGTAAATTCCGTTACTGACTTTTTGTTTCATTTTGCGAAACACTGAATACACTGATAGTGCTCACTGAATAATAAGCAAGCACAGCGATGGATGGAACTACTGTTTAGATGTTAGACTTACTTACACATCACTATATTTCTTCTGGCTTGCAGAATGGTCCTACAATGGATATGATAAAGTAAATGATTCATAAACCCAAGATCAGCATGGGAAATGGGTACACTTTTGACACTGCTAGCAATAGGAGACTTCATGTGCCAATGTCCTATGAACATAATTGTTTTGCTACACTTTTTTTTTTTAAATTAAGAGAAGACCTTATCTGTGGACATCAAAAAGGCTTATGGATCTTTAAAGTTACACGTGCATCCTACACTATATATAAGGGTCTATCCTATTGGTTCATGATTCTTCCATGCATTGTAAAAAGAGTCAGCACAGAGAAACAAAAACTGGTTATCAACATAACTCTATGACCCATTATAACCTTATTTCAGAACAGAAATAGTGAATTAAAAAAATGGTATTTGCACTTGATCCTCTTCTGTTTATGTACCAATTTACAGATGTTCCTCAAGTAGAAAGATTTTATGAATAAACCATAAAGATACCTTATTTTTAGGTTGTTGATTCCATCCACTAACCCAGTATAGTTCAATGACAACCTGCATATAAAGAAAGAAATATTTTAAATGTTACAGTGTGTCAGTTTAAATTAGGGCATTGCAACTTCTTAAAATCAAACTCAATTTTCCAAACCAATAGATAACTACAAAGAAATTACACAGCAAAAAGATAAAGTAAACTGGACAAATATGACAAACATTTCAAACAGAAATGCTTCATCTCCCTCCAGCGGGTGCTTTAAAGGAATGGAAAACAGAGAATGCAATGACAAGAGACCTTGTTCTATGAACATACTCACAGCTGGATTAATACCACGTATTGGCACGGCTTCACCGTTGGGAAATCTTACAATGAAATTGCTGTCTCACTAATGCTACTGGAGGTTTCAATGATTGTAGAAGAGAGACAAGGTACTAACAGAAGATGAGATACAGCAGCTCAGAGGCGCTGAGGAAAGTAAAGATAACTATTCTAGCCAAAACTCATTTTAACTCTACTCTCATAAGCAAACAAGGAAAAACAGTCATAAAAAACAGAAACCAAGATTAAATGATTCCTGTGGTGTTGCCTCTGTAATTTTCCTACAAGAAAATGAAACTTGGGGTATTTATCCAAGGCGGTTTATTAAATTAGCATTAGCCTTTTGAAATTTCACTACTTCTGATTAGCTATTAGAATCACATCATTTTATGATATGGATCTTTGTCCCACTTACGTTGCATTGGTGGCTGAACAAACAGATGAACTGAAGTCCACCTTACGGGACACAAATGTTAAATTTGTCAAATCCACATGAACTGATTTGTTGGCTGTGAGGCTGAAATTACTGGCATAAAAGAGGATGCATGTGTTAGTTCCATTGGTCACATTCAGTGGATAGTATTCATCTGTCACTTGTGCTTCAGTGGCCATGAGTCGCCGTCTTGATTCCAACACTACATCGGGTCTTCTGGGAATCTGGGATAACAGCACATTACAATTAAATTACTAAAAACAAAAAGAAAATCGGGACTAGAACACAGAACTTTTCAGCACTATATTGTCAGTTTGAATTCCGCTCAGGATTGCAATCACCAACAGTTATTAATATCTTATGGCTGTTCACCAACCTCATTTCATATAGACAGACCACTGGTTTTAAGACCAGTTTCCAGTGGGCCAGTATCCACATCACAAAACCAGTCCCACTAACACTAGCTTGGCAACCTTGTGACAGTTTTAGCAATAGAAGACTACATGGACATGGAGCCTACTCTATCCTTTCACCTCTCCAGGTGGCTTTTCCAGGTCAGTGTTGAGTTTCCAGCACAGTGGCTGGGCATTGTGGGGAAGTTTGTGCTGTCACTGCCCATTGCTATACCTGATGTGCGTAAAGAGAGAACTCCACTCTCAGGCACTGCTGATTGAGAATGTTTCATGAATCCTAGTTCACACTGCTGAAAACTTTTAAAATAATGATAAACATCAACTGATGAAGGGGTGCAAAAAAACCCACAACCCAGCATAGTGAAAAAAGAAGAATGGCTACATTCTATGGTCTCCACCAGCCTTGGAATAGTAGTGTCCTTAGGGGGATTACCTGGGAGAATGAATTGATTTTTTAAAAATGTTGATATAAATTCACTTTTTTCTCTTATAGAATGGCAAACAAATTTCAGTTAGCCAGGCTGAAGAGATGGGTTTTTCTGGGTTTTTTTTTTTTTTTTGGCATGCCATTAGTTTAAAAATTGCTTAAATTTTATATTTTTTGTTTTAAAAGCGGGCTAGTAAATCAATGCGGATTAGGCTCCTCTAATGTTTTCTGGAAAAATAATTTTTAAAATGTCCAGGGGGGCAAGATGTTGAGGTTTGATAGTATATATGTTCACTGCACATGCACTGCACTAGCTCCTTAGCAAGAGGCTTCCCAGGATTCCATTTGATAGATAATATATTCTAAGAAGTGTGCCATAGGCATCCTGGGTGAAATCCTGGCCCCGCTGAAGTCAGTGGCAAAGCTTCCATTGACTTCAATGGGGCTATGATTTCATTCCTTCTTTTTAGGCACTCAGACAATACTCTACATCAGCATTTCTCAAACTGTGGGTTGAGACCCCAAAATGGGTCATGACCCAATTTTAATGGGGTCGCCAAGGCTGGCTTAGACTCGATGAGGTCCAGAGTCAAAGCCCAAGCCAGAGAGCTTCAGCCCTGGGCGGCAGGGCTAAGATTACAGGTTGAAGCCCTTGGGTTTTAGCTTTGGCCCCCCAGCTGGGGGCAGTGGGGCTTTGCCCCTCCCCTCTTCCCCCCAGGGGTCAGAGCTTAGGCGGGCTCAGGCTTCAGTCTCCCCTCCTGGGGTCCTGTTGTATTTTTGTTGTCAGAATAATACAGAGTACTGGCTTTTAAAATATAACACGGATCCTTTTTGATCAGAGCAGCTAGTTCAGGGCCATGGGGATCTTCCAGATGGAAGTAGAAATTGCAGGAGTCTGGTATTCTTTGATGTATTGTTTATTCCTTGTTTATTTACAAGGAATGTACACACTCCTGCTCCTCTGAATGCAGGAGGACCCAAGAACAAAAAGAGCAGTTACTTAGTTTACAACCCCACGCCTTGTTAGCCAACAGACCCAAAAGTTCACTGACTAGCTTTTTCCAGCATCACATTGTTCTTACCTGTTACTGCTTGGCGTTCTTGCTTTTTGCCTCTCCATCTCTGTTTCTGTGTTTTCTGCCCTCTCTCTCTCTCTCACTCAGACACACATACCTGGTCACATGCTCAGTGGAACCTCCCACCCTGCCCGCATGGCGATAGCTTCTAGACAGACACTATTAGGCCTTGTTTTAGGTGCAGCCCCTTAAATGTTTCTTAAAACTATCTTAAGTGAAGGGTGCATTAATACATCAGTTTGAATGAGGTTTTATCTCACCCCATAACATTTCACCCAGCTCATAATAATGTACAGTATTAACCCGCATTTTAAATGAAGAAATATCTCTCTCCTAAAGAAGAGGAAAATATTCAGTTTTAATATAAAACTTTAAATCTGTCCCTAGGCTCCTCCCCCCAAAATGTAATTATTTTATTTTTGTATTGAGAAAAAAATCTGAAGACTAAATTGTATTTTGTCTAACAATTGACTGCACATTATGGGAGAATGGGCCCAGCATATCACCTAAAGAGGGTTTTTAAAACCACTTGCTAATAACTGAAAACAAGACCGTAGGAGACAATGACTAAGCGATGGGGATTAGTTGAGTATGTTTGGAAAAAATATAAAGGATGCATTTCCAGCAGACTAAAGCTTTATTTCCACTGGTGTACTGCCAATACTTTAACCAGGGGATCGCAGAGATTTTCCCCTTTATCCTCTGAAAAAGCCCACATATCAAAGGTGCATTTGCCTGCAGAATCTATCAGTTTGTTTCCCTATATCATGCCCAAGAAAAGAGACAACACCACTTGGCAAACAAACATATTTTAAATGCACTTTGCCGGAATGCTTACACTTTGTTGTTGAAAATAGAGACAATATATTGATAGTATAGCACAGCATTCAAGTGTTTGTGCTATTTAAAGGAGGGCAGAACAAATAACCTGTAGGGAAACCTGGAGGTGCCCTGTCTTGGGAAAGACTCAAAAATACCTATTCTTATGTAATATGTTTATGAGCCCCAGGGATAAGTCATCTGTGACAGGAATGATTTAGCAGGACCGAAAGAGGGAATTCATTCCTTCAGAGGCAAGAAAATCAACCCAACCTTTCCTTCAAGATGATGCTGGAATTTTAAACAAAGGGCCCCTCCAGAAAATCACTACCTATTTCTATTTCAAACATGCATTTATTGTTCCTTTGTTTTTTAATTTTATGATGTATCCCCTGCTGCAACGAACATGAGTTTCTCTGGTTAGAACCATCCTACCAAACTATACATTTAATGATAACTACAAACAACAAAATCCTTACTTGGAAAATTGGTTAAGATTATATTGTATTCTCTTAAATGAAATTTAGTCTCCATGTTCTAAATCTTTAAAGGATATTATTATTTTTCTTACCCTTTATCTTTCTGTTGGGCTTATCAATAACAATTCTGATCTCACATGCACAGTGAACAATCACTGTAGCTGACTGAACAAGGCGTATAATGAAAGGGATGCACTTTGCATCGTCATAGATTAAAATTGGGCTGACCTGGTAGAACTGAGTGTGGACTGAAAGTAAGAAAGGACCCAATTCTTCCCTTTGATCTGCATTGTTTGACTCCTAATTCAGAATAATCTGTGCTTTTTTTAAAAGGAAGAAAGAGCCTCCAAAGAGAACATTTGACCCACTGACATTCCTCTCTCCTTCAGAATGGAGCAGATCCTCAGATCCACATAACTGGTATTTTTCTCGTGGCTCTTCCAAAAGAGTGTGGTTCATAGAGCTAGGGCAATGGGATCCTGATCTATGATTAGGGCTCCTAGGCACTGTGGTGCTACAAATAAATAATCAAAACAGAGATTTTGGGCCAAAATGATTATTTTACACTTATTGTATACGTGCAAGAGAATACAACAGAATGGAAACTACTTATAATAAATGTAAAGAAGAAGTACAAAAATAGTGGGGAAATAGTTATACAAGAAGATTCAAGGATTGTCACTGTATGTGTCACTTTTTGAAGCCCAAAATGTCTGAGTCAGTGAGGAGCAATGGAAACAGCTACAAGCATGGTGGAGGGCTCTTTTGGTTCAGAATATCAGCAGATTGAATCATCACTGGGATTTGCAGGCTGTTACTATCCAGTTTTTAAATTCTCAGCCATTTGACTTTCCAAATTACACCGGTGCAGTTTACAGCTGCAGTTAGTCATATCTAATACCATGCCAAGGGTCCTAGCCCATTATGATCTCAGAGATAACCAATTACTACCCTTACTCAACAGCTAATTTCCATGCAGCCGTTTCATTTGGTTATCTGAGGGAGACTGCACAGATCAAGGATTACTTGGCTCAGCTGGAATGCCCAAGCAACAGCACAGGCTTTCAGCTACTAGTACAATAAACAATTGTAACAGGATAAAAATTCTCCATTGTATCGAAGGATGGGGGTTCTCTGGGTATTTGTCCAAAAGGCGATGCTACTTTTTCTTCCCCAAACATAAGTTTCTCCGTATTCTTTTTTCTTTGGCTGTTTTATGGCCCACATAACAATGGCAATGAGTAAAGGTCCTGGTGGCACCGGAATGAGTATGACACAAATGAAGAAATGGCTTATAAAGTGAAAGTTAGCAATGGACTGGTCCTTTCACTGTTCATCGTCTGGACTAGATTCTTGGCCACCCCTCTGACTAAGTTGTCCTGCCATACCCCCGGAACTTCTGCACAAGGGCTGACCAGAATTCCAGTGGGAAATGTAGTCCCTGCTCCCTCTCCCAGCAGTACACACTACAATATTGTATTTATTCATTAATTTATTTAACCTTTTGGCATCCAGAAAAGTATTTAATTGTAATAGTCTATAAGAGCCATAACTTAAGGTTGAGATTTCTCAAAACTAAAGAGGGGGATTTAGCCCTATAGAGTTCCCACGGAAATTAATAGAACTTGCATGGTTAAATCCCAGAGTCAGCTTGAAAATCTCAACCTGAGATCTTCTAGTTTGTGCGGGTTATAAAAAGGAGGCATTGTGGATCTGAGACTAATCGCATCCTAAATGATCTGCACTCACGTATGTTATCAGACCCATCGTTGATACCAGAATCCAGTCTCTTCAAATAGGGGCAGAAGTATTCTGTTTTCCTTCTGAATTGACCCTCTGGAATGTAGGCAGGACTAGGAGTAACCAAAATGCTATTTTAAGGGAATGCAGGCTAGGGAGAAACATGTATTGTGTGTGGATTTAGGTCACTTTAGAAATTCACGCTTTAGAAAATCAAGGTGAAAGTGTATTGCACAATTTGACTAAGCTGTTTCTACTCTGGGGCCAAAT